AACAACTGGCATAATATTTATCGTAAAGTTCTTCGTTTCGAGGCACTCTGGCTCCGTGACTCGGCTGACGCCATTTTAAGTACAGGTGCAGCTCTCTAACTGTTGACTAAATAATTTTTAGAATAAAAGAAAGCCAGCTTTATTCAATTTACGTATCCGACAGCGTAATCTTTTGTCAGGGAAGTAACTTTGTGTCTATTTTGGCTTATTCAATTCGGCTCATTTGACGAAAAGTAAATAAGAAGATCTTTATTGTTGTTTACACACGCATGCTTAAAACAACATTGTGACCAGCTGTTTATCTTGACGTGGTTCTAAGTCGTTGCCGTAGAGTTACGTTTGGAAACAGACGGGGAAGCGGAGTGAACATTTGTAACACAAAGCCTCTTTCGCTTATTTTTCTCTAAAATGGAGTAAGTGGTACAGAATGCATGTGGTGCATGTGCCATCTGTATTAGCCCTTAGCAACTAGCGAAAAACGGGTTCAATGAAGATCCACTTGGTTCAGAAAATAATTATCCATCTAGCTTGAAGAGCATATGAAGAACTGACATGAACCTAAATTCTGGTCCAAGTATATCAGACTCGTATAGGTTCTTAACAGAAACATAAAATAACAGCAAAGACACTGGCAAGTTTGTCAAGCGTACCCTTGGTAAACCATCTATAAAATGTGAAATATAAGAAAGCGCTCATAAACTATACAAGTAGCTTCTATTGCATAATAGCCCCAAATTATCTCACTTATTAAGCTAAATCATACAGCGTTACCTGTTACTTAGCCCACTACAAGCATTCATCCGACGACGAAATCACGTTTGCTCAGCTGTAATGCGACTGAAACAACTCCAGCAACTACAGGAGCCAATTCTTAAATCTTCAGTCAGCTCATTCGCTGAAAAGGGGAAGTGTCGCTATATTCCGTCTGAGTACCGACTTCATATGAACGGTTCGTCTCATATTTCCTATCAATTACAGACCAGTTGTATTGGATTTGCACAACCACCTGTCGGCCTTGATAAGCCTGTGACCCAGCCGTAGTTGACTGGACAGCTATGAAAGTTCTGTGTTAATTTCCATCAATTAGGCCTGGAAAAGAGTGAATTTCCTAATTCCGTTTTTGTGGTAAGGAGGCAATCACGCCATGACAGGCGTGAATTGTCAGACTTCGGCTGATACGAAGTGAAACCTCCACTTAACTTGGTGTCAGCTGAAAATGCTCATCGCGAACTTACAGTTACAACAGACATGGCTGGTCTCCTCAGACTAAGATATCTCGTTAGCTGATTGCTGAAATACACCTCTAATGTAAGTGGCTTGCCGGTATGGTTTTTTTTCGATAGTTGAAGTTAATGATCTACTTTGTAATACACTCGTATTCGTTTAAAGTTACAATAAATGTGGTTATATATTGAATTTTCAAACTACTGAAAATTGGTTTATGATACAAATTGAATCAGACCTAGTGCATAATAATACTTTTGAGCGGGAAGGAATTTGTATTAACAGTTGCGTTGGAAAATACGCGTGGCGCAGGTAAATGTCTACCCATGACCATGGACCTATTTACCGGCCAAATTTCGAAGCATTTGAACGTGTGTTCCGTGCTATGCCAGAGACAGTGGTTCGCACACAGTTAAAATAAGAACTCTTTTTAATAGGAAACATCTATGTTTCTAAATGACTTTCGAAACAGCCTAGTATTTACATGAGCTATTAAGAGAAATCACTGTCACCTTGAGATGGCGGCCACTTTCTGTATCTCGTCGAAAGAGCAAAAATTTACAATTATCAAATTTAGCTATCATTATCTGTCAATATAAATGATACTAATAAACTTCAAACAGTGTGATCGATATCACGATAATGAGATAGTCAATTTTCGAAACGAGCGGTCATTAAGTTGTGGCGTGACAACATGACCGAAAATTTAACATTATACTTCAACTACGACAAATTAAAAACTTCCAAAATGTTGCGATTAGAGTGTATATCACATGACGTCATGTTATAATTGTTATCGACTGTGTAGACCATTGCCGTTGTATAAATTTCTATCGTTTTGATTTTTATGCGTGCTTTGTGATTTGAAAAAGTTTCGACATTTACGTCCGGTCCTGCCCCAATCAATCATTGCAAATAAAGTAAAGTGTGCATTTTTACTTCGAATTTCAAACCTTCGCGCGTCTTCAGCTATTGCGGTCAAATACGGTACCGTTGCGCCATCACAGTGACACTATTATTTGACTCAGCAGAAATTCGCACACGAACAAAAATGGCCAGAGTGCCCATATTGACATATTTCTATTATTCGTCGCGAACAGCACTGATTAATCTATTATCTATTAATTCATGAGCATTGTTCATGTATCTTGGAGTAATCACTGCAGCACATTCAATCGTCTATCAGATCTATAGATAATCAACGTCCTGAGCTTGTTAGAAAAGCTTTGCGAGGATACGATATTTACATACAACATCATAAAAATACAAGCAACACTATCTGTGCGATACCACGTTAACACGGGAGTCTACCTTTCTCTAAGCCGTTGTTCCATTAGGGCGAAGACAGACTGTCGAAAAAGGTTGGCTAAACTGGAAAAAAGGAACCCCTTTAGGTAGCCAATCGTCCCGTTTACTGCGAAGCACGAGCGCTCGGTAAATGCGATTGAGTTGTTAAAGATGCTCGTTTACGATCAGTGCTAGCTTGGCGCCATTTCCTAAAGACAGGTGGTGGAAATTAGACTGTTGATGTATTTTGACATGATCAAACGTCAGTCAGTATATAGTAGCAGACCATTGGCTAAATATTCCTACTAATGAAAGGTAACGAGCATAAGGATTTGCTTTGGAAAAGGAAAAATACGTTTAATCGGACGAGACAGTTATTAACACTTTAACGACGCTCTGTAATAACTGAAAATTTATATATAGCGTTGTACTAGTATAGTAATATTAATTAGATACAAAAATAATGTTAGGATATTTCCTTAGCAATCCCCTTATGACGAAGCCAACGTTGCAATAAAGATTACTTCTATTAAAGCTTCAAGCGGGTTTCCAGCATCAGATGACGAAAACGGATAGAGATATTTCTCTCACTACGCATCCTTATTCTTTTTCCTTCTGTATTCACAATGGTTCTTATGAGGTTTGTTTGATGTCGGCTGGCAGCGTCCAGATGTCACCGATTTGATCTTGCCTGTACACGCCTTAAACCGCCTTGTACAGCCTCCGTTAGCTAGCATATATACGCGCACTGGCAGCGACTACATTAAACTAATACAATATGAAGAGAATTTCGTTGTAGCGAGAGACTATCGGCGGTCAAGAAAGACATCGGAATGATTATTAGGGTGAACCCGCCGCGCTTTTACCTTTCACTTTGACAACCCCGATGCGGAAAAACGCACTGTTGCCTATGAAGCTGCAACTGCCTGGATCGCTGCACAAACAAACAACGATTTATCCTAGAAAAGAAATACTACGGAGTTTTTCGCTATTCGAAAGACATTAGAAAACTTCGTTGTGAAATGGTATATAAATGTTGTTTAATTTATTTGTCTATAAACGGATACGGTTTATTTGATAGTAGAATAGCGAAATAGGTAAAGGACATTTCTATCGGAATCTTTCCTACATACGGAGTTATTGGCGCACGGGTAGAAACCTCATCGTTTGACCTCAACATCGATATTGGCGAGATTTGCTAAATTCTTAATAGAGAATGGAAACTAATTCTATGCGACGGTTCCTGCGTCGTTTGGAACTTCTTACCAAAGTACTGTTTTGCCCACAGGTGGCTACTGAGTATAGTTACATTTAAAAAATCTATAACAAAATGGTTCTGACTATTTCGTCAGTCGTAAAACCAATAGGTATGATCCTAGATAATCCTTGACGGCTAAGTGTTTGAATCGTCTTTGAATACTGAGAATTATATTTTCTATACGAATTAGCGAGGCTGAGTTTATTCAGCGAAACCAAATGCACCGAGCATACCTATATATATATATATATATATCATGGAGCAGAGGAACTAAAAAGCGTTTGACGTCAACATGAGAACGGAACGTGATTTATGCGTCGGCACAAATGTTATTACTCTCGCCAGTACCCCTGTGGGTATTTGTAGACGTTGTCACTCTTCCATAACTTTTTGTCAACGCCGACATTAAATGGTACTCGCCTGGTTATATTACGACATCGGTAAACCCAGTTATGTATGGTCGCAGAATTTTAGGAAACTTTTTTTTGCGAAAATTAACAGCGGCCTGCATTAGGACCGCGTACGTCTTTTAGCATCTTAAAAAACTGGTACAGTTTTTTCTTAAATGCATCATCGTTTTAATTTGATAGGTAGATAAGCCAAGGTATTTGCCATGCCATTAAATATTGATGGCACTCCGTACGCTTCTGTGGAGATTCTCTTCGTGAGATTAATAGAATAACGTATACACGCGAAAAATGGCTATTCGAGTATATAACGTTACCTAGGATTGTGAAGTAGCTGGCAGTACTATCGCTCAAACATTTCGGTTTGTCGGCATTTATATAGCCTAGGACGTTTATAGATAGTTTCTTGATAGCGCGTCGGTGTTGAACGAGCAAATAAATCGCGCCATATATAATACAAATGACCGTTGTTATCTGAGGTTCGTCGGCTTAGAACGGACTGAAATCCTTTCAGCATCCGTGAGAGATACAACTATATAGAAGTGAATCAATAGGCTGTACCATGCATAGTATAGCCCCTAATTGTTAATCATAAGAATGTGAAGATCTGTTCTGCACGTTCTATCGGGAAAACCTCATCTTAAAGCTTCCTATTTGCATCTGGATTTTGAGATTGTTAAAAAGAATAAACCGTAACAACAAATCCACGCGTTAAAAGACTCTTACTCGACCTGTATGCATGACAGATATAAACTGCGAGAGAAAACGGTATGTAAAATCATTTAGTTGTCAATTAAGGATGTTAACGGGTCCTTTAACTTTACCTGTCTCCGAAACTCTGTTGGTATGCCACCAGGTAATCTGGCGACCATTTTCATCGCGTCCCTCCATTGCGTAAATCCATTGTCACCGGGAAATGGTTCGAGACTGAATCTCATCTTCGTATCGACTCCTGCAAATGAAAGGTAACGTCCGCAATTAATGTAATTTCTATTTTGCCTTTAATTCACCTCATTCACTGTTGAGTAAATGTTAATGACAGCGATCTGGGAGTTCAGTAGAGATCCGGCTGTTATACAAGGACTTCATCAGGATGCATAATTGGTACAGGCACAACATGAAAATATTTTCGTCTTGGTTGTACTTGAGCAGGCAAAGATACGCGAAGCCTTAGGCGGTTGGCTGCATAAACGTAACATGCGTTTGTTACGCAGCCTCACTGTGAGTAGTCTGAGTAAAAATCATTTTACTATTAACAAACCTGATTGTTCTCTATCTTTTCGTTCTCGTATGAAGAGCCAGCTCGTTCATAGTAGATTATGGCAAACTAAAATAGATCTAGATTAAGCTATTCACTGAGTAACAAAACTAATGTTTTTTTCAGCCGGATACATGAACATGGCAGAAAGCTTGCGTAGTTTATGCGTTTTGTGTGTGAGAGATTCACATATGCTACCCGTTTTGATATCCTCTCAAGAAACGGGTTGACTGAAAGTAGACATAGCACCTAATATAAGCCTTTGAAAAAAGCGTTCTCTAAGGTTATGAGCATTCAAAATTGTTTGACATAAATTGCATATAAGTTAGGTACGAACAACATTTGTGTATAAAATAAATAAACTTTGATTTAAAAATAGGGAATACAATTTTGTTTATTATAATACCAGTCATGTTGCCTTTGCGATTTTGAGAATGGTACTGCAAAGGAAGCGCCGCAGTACCCCGTAGCAACAGCACGAAATTAGTTTATCTATTATCGTTTAAATATCAAGGTATTATGAATAAAGTCTGGGCAAAAATGCCCCACGGGTAGCCAATGAGGTTCTTCCGTATCTCTCGGGTAATTTAATGAAATGTGTTGCGAAATAGGCTTGTTGTGGCGCTGGCTCGCCGTACGTTCATTAATCTGACTAAACTCACAAGCCGCATCAGTTGTATAGGACTATCGCCAACTTGAAACCGCTGCTAATTTCACTGGCAGTTATTTTTGATGATTGCTTTTTTTTAGCGTTCAATTATGTTCAGTTTCAAAATCCCTTAACATTTTCTGTTCTCTGCCTGTGCATCTGTCTATTCTGTCAGAAGCCTGATTTTTAACCATGTTTGTTGCAGAATCGGTCAGCGCGCTCATACATAGTAGAGGCATTATCCAGTTATTGAGAGGCTTAAGCAGGAGCTTTTTTCTACCGTTGGTATCGTCGCTTGACATGATCCGCGTGAAAAATTTAGCTTGATCCTATACAAGTTAGCCTACTGCAATGTAACGGTTTGAATCAGAAAATTTAGGTCCCCCAGGCAACATAAGCCCGAGAAAGGCAAACCAATCTACTTAATAATAAACCTTATTTGTAAAATAGATTATTTCTAGCCTTACTTGCAGGACACGCGCATGGTAACTAAACAAAGCAGTGGATCACTCGCCGCGAGGCATAAGTGAGCAAGTTTGAATTGCAATCGTTCCAGAAAAGTGATGGATTCCTGGAAAAATCATTGCAAGGGACGCACCTGTTGGTCTTCCTGCTTGGATGGAGCTTTAATAATTTCGTTTTATAGATAAGATAACGGTGATAAATTTACTTAGTTTACAATTCTGGGTAAGGCTACAGTTTAGTAATGCCTTTCTCTGTCAGCAGCGGTACAAGCCATTGCCGAAGTAACCCATACCAATGAGGGTCGACGTAGTTCGGAGCATTTCGAACCCTTTAATCATTATCCGAATTGTTTTATTGAAAGAAATAAAGAGCAAGGAAAATTTGTGTACTGCATGGCTTTAATTGTGGAAGCGACTCCTAAAACCAAAATTATGTATAATTTACTAGCTCAAATCATTGTCAAGACTCAGACAGTGGGAGATGCTGTGCCTTTACCTGTTGATGTCGACTTTAAATAGCTTTTCACTGAAATCGCACCGTGCTATGGACATAAGATAGATGAAACGAGATATAAAAGAAACTATGAGAATCGCTGTTTCTGATAACGGTTTCGATATTTTATTTAAATTTTATTATTACATTATTTATTTTACTTTTAAACAGATGTTATGACTTCTACGTCCTCGTGTCCTAAAAATGTGGATAGTGTGAGACAAGTATGTTTAGTTTATATAATGGATAATTATGCTTCTGCGATTTAATTAGACATCAATAGAACGATCAGCTTTACGTCAGCCAGTGTGGCTGCTTATGTACCATCCTGGAAATTGTCCTCATAATAAATAATAAGGAATCTTCTAAAATGAATAGTTTTAACAGTGTAAGTATCATGTCTGTGTGCACCAACATTTTGCTCTGTAATGTTTATAATAATTACGATCATTATTCTTATCAGCTAGTCTTTTTTGGTCATTAGCAAGAACAAAGTAAACGCCACTAACCGTACGCTACTCAAAAAGCGCTCTTATACTATATGATCATGAGACACAGTTGATATAGTCCTACTCCGCTTCGTTCATCCACTGTCGTCTTTCGTATGCAGGACATAAAGCATGTGTTGTTCGGTTTAAATCAGGAATAGTGCTATCTTTTCCCCATTGATCGATTGTAGTTACGCCTACATCAGTGTGATTTTTAGGCCCACTAGCGCAGACATAAATCATCTTGGCCGCTGCTTGGATCGCTGCACTGAAGGCATTCCCTCGTGGAAACAGCGTCTCCGTGATATGAGTGGCGTATTTGCCTGATAGTATTAGGAACATGTTATGGTCCAGGTTCGAACCCGGCCATAGCCAGCTGTCTGGCTCAGAATTAATTCGAATACGTAGAAAGTACACTTCAGCGACCATAATGAACCATGGAGGCACGTATATAACGTTGGGCAAGTTTTCAACTTGTGTCAGAAACTTTGCAGATTGACAGTCGCAGATGCGCTTTTATTCAGTACTGGGACCATAAGCACATACGTGTCTACTGCGTAAAAAAACATTACTCGTGAAACATCTGGCCGAAGGTCTTTCAAGTTAAGGAAACAGTTTTAATTTGTATTAATCAATGTTGATATAGATGAATCTGTTTGAAACAAATTCTAATACTTAAAACACTAACAAATTTTTATTGTTCACATGTACAGTGGATCCCGCGCAATAACAAAACGAGAGCGTTTCATCAAATTGTATCTACGAAATGAAGCTATGATGTTCTGTTTACAAAAGTTTTATTTACTCAGCATTTGGTAATTAATGGTAAAATTTTATTTCGATCGTGTAACGGATACGCGATTTCGAAATATCGTTAAGCCCTCATAAGCCTTATGCTTGCTTGATCTCGTACGCGCTACAGTCGAAAAATAACCAGGGACGCCTGAAGATCCATATCGACATCTGAAAGTGGTCTCGTGTAGGTCGGCGCGCACGTTCGAGCAAGGATAGAATGGACATCAGTCAACAATATATCGACTTGAGCGCCGGAGCTCAGGTACAGCGCAACAGGTCGCACACGTACCCATTATGCTTATCACAATCACTAATAATAATTATAAAGGGTATTTTAGCGTACATAACTGTACAAGGTTGATATTTATTAATTAAAAGTGTTGTGAACAAGTCGCTGCGTATCGACAACAGTAAAATGTAGATGCTACCGATTTCGCCCTTCAGAATATCTCCAACGATCTCACTTACTCCGCTTGCAATTAGCTTTCTACTAAAATATAAGGTTATCGTTAAATGATTAGAGAAAGTCGTCCATAACGCGCGTCGGAACGTTTGAGCTGACTGAGCAACTGTTACTTCAGTACACGCATTAAAGGTAAATAACTTCGTTGTTGTCATGTGTAGCGGGAACAGCAGCCCGCCATGTTTTCAAACAAGACGAAGCAGTACAGCCATGCTATGAGGAACAGCGGCTGTCATCGCACGAGTTAGTCCCTAGGGCCGATACTGGTCTATAAAACGCCCATAAGCAGGTAAGTATCATTATGGTTACCATAAGTAGGACTAATAGACTGACTGTGATCTGAGAGAACCACCTCAGCCAAGATCGGCAGTCTGATATGAAAGTGGTGAAATGCTTTTGATCTTCGTCCAACTCAACGTAAACGGCTACGAGCTCGTCATGTTTAACATCACGGCACGTGACGCCTCTCTCCAGTAATAGTCGGCTCATCCATTCAACTGTGTGCAAATCACGATTCAGTTGAACTCTCAAAACAACAACTGTGTCATTAATATGACTGTTGGCGGTGTCCGCGCTCACCCGGGGTTCTACTCGTGACCGAATAATGCTTATCGTGTCATTTAGGCCCATAGGGACGTTCTGTTCGGTTATGAAGTAATGATTACGTTCACACGCCTGATCTCCGTCACGCAACCGAATGTGAAGGACACCTTCACCAAGGATGCTATCGTCTTCGAGCGCACGGAGCACAAACGAGTATTGTCCCACTGAACGAAATAGGCTGAAACCTTGAATTCGTGAGAGGCCATTATCATTGCCGAAGAGCCACACGCTTCGAGGGGACACCCTCTCAACTTCAACGCGAAAGGACTTGTTGACGGGAACGGGTAAATCGAACATTTCGCCTGAATACGCCGTGAATACGAATTTCTCATACTGCTTAATCTCCGTCTGTCCTTCAGGAATGGAAACAAACGGTGGCTGATAATGGCTGGAATCATCATTGCCGCTCTGTCGTCCTGACTCTAAAGTTGTTGGCGTTGTAGTATAAAATGTCTTCAACGCAGATGATCCTTGTGCCATTTCTGTTGTCATCGACGGCAGGCTCCTCAGAAGATGCGTTCTTATGGTCTTTGTACTAAAAGAGGTTGTTGATTGCATGATTACGCTTGGATTAGCTGGGCTGTCTAGGTGTCTTGTAGTAGTAGGTCGACTGTTCTTTGTGGTATCTGCAGCAAGAACCTCATTAAGGGTGAACTCTACCGCTTCATTAGCCGATCTAGGCGGAGGGGGCGGTGTGAGTTCCTCGGAAGACGGAGAGACCTTTTTTTTTAATTCAGAC